CTCGAACCGACTAACAACCGTACGCCGTCTCAAGTACCAGTAGCCGAGGTGTACCCTAGAAAGGAAATCTCTGGTGCCCTGACGTAGCTCGGGCCATCTACGGCGGGTAGATGACCCTTCCTGTGTTCCTTACGTGCTCCAGAAAGGGGGAGCACGCTCTGCAACGCGTCTTGCCACCACCCTGGCCTGCTTTTGCTAGGGTGATAGGTGGCCTCATCTGTCACCCGGAGGACGGAGGTCGTTCTGAGGAGTCGTCTGCGGTACCTGGCCCGTTCTCGAGCTTGGCGGGCCGTGAGAGTTCTAAACCTCTCCCGGTCCCGCTCCGCCATCTCTTTCGCAAGCATAACTTGCTCGCAGAAGGAGACGGCAGAGTTTAATCACAATCATGTTATAGAGAACTCTCACTCTGATGGCCGCCACGAGTGGAGCGCCGTGTCCATCCTTTCCCAGTTATCACCTGCGTCAGCCGGTATGAGAGGGTCCCGTGATGCCTCACGAGCCAATCCTCCATGACGATTTTCTTGACTCACTCTTCACTCGCTGCGGTTGTCGCAGTAGTGCGATGTTCCTGGCCCTCAGGGCCCCTGCCCATACTGGGTCCATAAAGGGCCATGGACCGCACAACCCCCGAGTCTCCTGCACTAACAAAGAGCACTAAAAATTAAAAATAATTACAAATCTAATTGAAAAAACTAAAATGAGTGCGATCCTCAATAGGTTACATTATTTATAATAGCAATATATAAGTTCTAGTCTATTTGAAGCCAGAGAAACAAGCTAAAACACGTAGTCAGGGCTGTAAATCTTTGGGGTTTAGCTCGATTTTTCTGGGATGGGACCACTTTGACAGTATACTCTTTCGAAAACTAATATAATTTTAATAATCGGTCCTCAATTAACGGAGATATCGCTTAACAAACATATAAAAAAAACATACAGTCGAATTGAAGATGATTGAAGAACTTGAATTGAATAGAGAACCTGTTCTTTTGTGTTTTTGAAGTCGGTTAAAAATAATAGTATTTTTGGACATCTAAGACAACAAAGTTATCCAATATTTTGCAAAAATCAGTTTGATAAAAATGTAACAGGTATACATACGTGACAGAGAAAAAACATTTTAAACAGCAATATCAGAAAGAAAATTGTGTCACGGTTGTACCCCCAGAGGCGGAAACAAATACGTTGCAGTGGAACAAAGGAGGGTAGAATGTAAAATCGAAATGTGGCCCGTGTGCGCCCAGTCACGCGATAAACGAACTCAGCGTTTAAAATGTCAGGAGGTTCGGGGCACAGAAGTGAAGCTCATCAATCAGTCCCCAATGCATTATGACTTGCAACACACAATACTTGTTTGTACATGAAACTTTAGGATTTGAAAGTTAAGATGGTTTAGAGAACTAGTCTAGAGACTATAGAAGATAGACACTCGGATTGTGCTAAGAAATTGTAAATTTTCATGCAAAAGTTTCGTTCTATTCGACAGAGGCAATGAGGTAAATAGGACTTGTTAAGATTCTTAAATAATTTAGAGTAATATATATGCCTTATTCATGGTAAAATCAAATATAATACTTCAATAATAAAATACATAATACTTTTTTATCGAAAATGCAAGAAAACCATATAAGACAAGAGCATATAAACACTGCGTATCCAGTTGTCTTATACAGCTAACAGATTAAAACTTCTTGAATTCCGTTTTTATTTTAAATATTCAGTACTTTTAAAATATTTGGATATGTATGTACAAAATTGATGAACAAGATACTATTATTTAAGTTTATATGCTATGGCATTAAAAAAATACACACACAATCTACTACTTATAAATAAACCATTGTTTTTTTAAATGTTACTGTGAAAAGCAACGTCAGAATGATGGGTTTCCTGTGAATGTGCCATAATTATATATTTTTTGTGTATAACTCTCGTCGAGACGACCCATATGACCAAGACACTCCGAAGGTAATTGTGATTACGGTCATGTCAAGATATTCGAACAAAGACATATGCATATAAATATTTCATTGAGTTATAATGATGAATTAGTTCAATGCGTATGTATGTATGATATACGTTACCGCGGTGCTTAGTGATCAATGGAAAAATCAATAAAAATACCAACTATACTAAACAATCAATAAAATTTTCAGCGGTTATTTTAGTAAATGCAATGTAACCATCAGATGTGATTTCAGAAAGTTAAAAATGCATTAATCTGATTTTACATCTCTTGCCAAGTATATGTTACGTTGTTACAACTAACGTTTCAGGTACACTTATATTATTTTTTATTCCAAATATATTTAGAACTACGAGAAAACTCAGTTCTTTAACTTTGAAGGAATCTTTTTTTTTTTTAATTTTAATTTAAAACACACTAGTGACTTTAGTTAACAAAGGTTAGAGCGGTTGGTATATTGCAAATTGAAGAAACACAAGCAATACAAAATGTTTGCCCTGTCACAGCACATAGCTCACATGGGGTGTATAATAAAAATGTAAATTGGCCAAGTAAAACGGTTGCGAATAGCACGTACAATGCAGGCTTAAACTTGGTAAATCTATTCATAAATTACTGGAATAACGCTTATCTGCACGCAATATATTTGGATAGATGAGTTCGAATTTAACCCTGTTTAAATAATTATGCCAAACTTACAGTATAAGAGAGAATATTCTTTTTATATTTACACAATATTCTTCGTTTTAGACTGATTAAAAAACGATTTATTTTTTTCTTTCTTTCTTTTTAAGTAGACAACTAGGAATATATCCAGTGTCGTGGGGGACTTCACAGAAATACATGAAACTGACACAAAGAACACCCAGACTTGTCCTAGTGACCCAATATTGTCCTATGTGGAGATCAAAACTACAACACTCGGTGCAGTAGAAAGTGAGGTGACCGCTTAAACACTGAAAGAAAATACATCAATAACTAGAGAAAAGGTAACAATAATAAATTTCCACAACTGATGGTCAGCAACAAAGTTGATACCGATGAACAAGAAAAAACGTCGTACCTAGATTTTTTCCACAATACTTAATTATAACCACTTCACAACAAATCCTTATCTCAACTATTATCGTGATAACATACCTACTAAATATTATCTGGACAATTGTTAGTAAATGGTTTTCTTTTTTCAAATGATTCGTTCGTCAATTGTTTATCAAATACGAATGTTTAGTCTTCAAAATTTGACTAATTGTTTATTTGTTCAAGAAAATACATGTTTGACATATATCACGTAATTCACGCTGGTTAGTTTTTTCTATCTTAAATAAATCGCATTCATTTACATATTTTAAAATTCGTTATCAAGAAAATTACTAGCATATTTTCTATAGCTAAAGAAATTAATTTAGATTGTACGGAAAATTACTCAAACTTAGCTAATGAATGTCATATTCAAAAGTCGTTTTGAAAAAAGGTCCCTCTCATATTAAATCGAATTTTATCACTTGGACGAAATTGCTTTCTATTTAATAGGTTGAAATTACTTATATTCGATAAATAATTTAAATTAAAATATTTCATTACATTAACTTGTTTTACATAAGTCACTGATCAAAGAAGACTATTACCTTCTACTAAGAAAGTTTCTGTGAAAGGTTCTGTGGGCCATCCATCACCCAACTTGTCAGCCGTGCGTTGTCAATCATATTTCCCAAAGCCCAGTGGTGACCCCAATTCCCAGCAATATTTATGAAAGGCAATGATCATACCACATGAAATATAAGGCCTTAATTCTACTTTCACCTGCATTAAATCCTATCGTGGAGATTTCGGTCTTTAAAGAGCAAGTGATGATGTCATATCCGCGCAGCCCAGTTGACTTATGTACTTAATATAAGCTGTCAGAAATGGCATTTGGAATAGGGTTACAGTGTACGGAATAGGTAATAAGACCTGTGTTATATTATGAACATATTTTTCTACGAGTATACTATTAATATAGTCTTTCTTCATCAACCAACAGCCTTTAGTAGTCTAGTAGTAGGCTAGACATAGGCCTTTCCTTAGAAATGTGGTTTTGGCCTACTATACTACGATGGCCAAAGTTTATTTTTTTTTGTTAGTTAAGCTTTAACGCGTAAACCACTAAACCGATTTAAAAAATCTTTCACCAATAGAAAGCTACAGTCCCGTGACGCCTCTCGAGCCAATCCTCCATAACGGGTCTTACCGCCGCGATGACGGCGTGCCCGGCGCTCGGTTGCCCGAGTCGTTCCTTCCACTCATCTATCACCCCTAGGCTTGCGCTAATGGAGGATAGTTCAGTGACTTTCGGCGCCTGAGCTGCCTGTGGTAGCTGGCCCGTTCTCGGGCCTTGTGGGCCGGAATAGTTCTAAGCCTCTCCTGGTACCGCTCCGGCCGCTTCCTCCTCTAATGAATGGCTTCATTAGAGGAGGAAGCGCCCTAACCCGTTATAACCTATACGTTACCCTAACTACCTTGTACAACTGTTTAAGTACAGACTTTTGTGTGGTCAAGTTTAATAGATATATTGTGCGACTACACTAAACAATAATAGATACGAGGTAGTCCCATCCTCTCCATGGTCACCACAGATAATGAGTAAAAGATTTTAAAGATTTTTTCTTAAGTCACAAATAGGTTAGTTTAAATTATAATCTAGTACACATGTTTATTGTTTTATTTTCAGTCACAAGTTTTACGAGTACATCTTAGTTTCAAAACAATAATGCCATGTTAATGAATTATATAAAGAGACTATTCTTTTTAGGAACATATCAGAAGGCTACTTTTACCTGTAATTTCATAATATAAGTATTGTTTTATATTTTTAATAAAAAGACACAATAAATGTTGTTCACAAATTTGATTTAAATTTTGTTTCTAAATTAATATTATTAGCAAAAACTAGTACGATGGATCCACACCTCACATCGTTTAATTTCTTTATTGTCTTGTTTCCTATACAACTAATGCTGTTATTACACTTTTTCACTCTTAAATTAGTATGACTTCAAAATGCCATTTTTAATGTTGCATTGTCATGTAGCGGTGGTGGTTCAGGCTGTCGATAGTATTTTTCATAAATATTGTCCCAGAATCGAGCTCGTTTTTCTAAAAGTATGTCACCTAACTTCACAAATTCACCAAAAGACATGTGCGGAGTTCTATTTACACTTGTTGGTGGCCAAGTCATTGGTAAAGACCATTTCTTTGGAATTGGTTCACTGAAAATTAAGAAAATTAAGTTACTTATAACAGGAACTATTTTTATAAACAAAATTTCTGAATTAAAGTAAAACTTCGAGCTCCTCTCTAGCATTAAACTGCTCGTTTAATAACTTTGATAAAAATTATGAAAAGAAAAATACTTACCCTGTAGTGATGAAACCATACCACATTTTTCTTATTATCTTCCTTAAAATTGTAAATTTAGTAGTTACATTTTTCGGTTTCACATCATCAAATACAGCAAGCGATTGGGCACAATGGTTAGCCCCACGAACTGTAGTATGCGCTATGTAAGGATCATTTTCATCCGTATACGTGTAATGATATAGATATATTTGTCGATTACCAGCAGCTACATTAAGACTCACTGATCGTAATGCAGGTGACGTAAACATAACATCTGTAATGTAGTCAACGTAAGCCAGTATGGAATTGTCATCTATAGGTTTTTCTGTAAAGTAAAACTCTTTAACTTGCTTTGTAATATGTTCCCTTTCCTGGTCATTGTCAAATTTCAAATCAGGTGGTAAGTAGTCTGTAAAATTCAGATTCATTGCTGATTTCAATAAATCGAAGAAAGGCAATCGTACTAAGCCTTCCATGTTTGTGAACCCGTACAACATAGGGACTTTCATATAGTCACCACTCTTTAATATATTTATTGGAGTATCATGAAGAAACATCTCTTCACCAACATCGCGCTCAACACATGGTACAAAAACAAAACTAGAATCTTTTCTGTAGACGAATGCCTCTTCGGTAAATTTATGGTATAATAAACTTTTGTAAAACTTTTCTAAAAAAAAAATATCGTCCACATTTGTAAAATTCAAAGTTCTGGCATATGTCTTAGCAATATCTAACGGCTTCAATTGAATAGCAAATTCAGCAAGATTAGAACCACTTTCAATTATAACTTTATTAAAAAGACCCATAGCAGATTTTGAAAGTATCAAAAGATCTGCAGCAACAGCACCTGAACTATATCCTGAGACTGTAACGTCATAAGGGTTACCACCGAAACTAGAAATATTTTTTTTCAACCACCGCAACATAGCTATAATGTCTTTCATACCAGCGTTGCCGGGGACATCTTTAGTACCCAAACAAAGGAACCCGATAACCCCCAGACGATAGTTGAAAGTAACAGTAATTATTCGTTTGCTTTGCATCAAAGATAGTGCTTTTCGTCGATTACCAGCGCCAACCTGAAAAGCACCTCCATGAATAAACACGACCACTGAAAGATTATTTTCTTCAGTATCCGGCACATAAATATTTAATATGAGGCAATTCTCTTGCATTGTCCTCTTTTTTACAAAAATGTCTGTACCAAAGTCTGGTTGAGGGCAAATTATTCCTTTGTCGACTGCTTCGAAGGTGTCTGTCCAGTTTGGTGGTGGAAGCGGTGCCTACAAGTGTATAAAATTAAAAACAAACATTAATCACAAAACCATTAAAAAATTAAAGATATAATCAAAAACCACCTTGAACTTATCCGATCCAGTAGGCGCTGTAGCATACGGTATACTATAAAATGCGTACACGTCTTCAGACTCTTTGTACCCACGAATTGGTCCTTGTGCAGTAATGACAAAATTTCGCTCATCTTCAGTACCTAAAATAGACGTTACCAAATACGACATAACAACTGAACACCACCACATAGTCTCTGACACGGTATGAGACTTATGAAAGACTACGTGTATGTAACATAAGTGTCATGTTTTATACTAGTTCTTCAAGTATCACAACAGATCTTGGCATCATTGTCGTTATTAATAACAAACAAATACGTGGAATCCAGTCATTGTTAAGGTGATTATTATACATTTAATAAGTGGTGTTATGTAATTCCAATACAAACACAACATAAACCAGATTTTTTTATATGTCGTCCTGTTATTGGAAAAACCGACTATATGACCAAATTGTCAAAACGAGATATTACATTCTGAAAGTTAGATAAAGAAAGTCTCCTGTGAAATAAAGTGTAATTTAAGTTGCGTCAAAAAATATATTTAGTACAATTATCTATCTTTTAGCTCACTAAATGTTATGTCCCGCAAGTCTGTTTTAACAACAGGAAAAATGTCGTAGAACCCCCTCAGTTACTTGGTTTTACCTGTATAACCTTAAATTTGGCTACTATCAAAGTGTTATCTATCTTGTATTTTGGTTTCGAATAATTATTTCATGGTTAATGTTAAGTAACATCTGTAAAACCACTATAACTCTAATTAAGTGCAAAAATTAAATATTAGTTGGTTTTATCCGTCTATAAATAAGAATACATTAAGTTTTGTTTGTACTAGTTTGTACTAATATTGCTAAACACTTTACAAACCGTCGAATTTACTATTGTCTTGAATATTTACTACATATATAGATCCAGACCGTATTCGGCAACGGTTTCTTGAAACTGGTTAATGCGAGCTTCGTTGATGTGGTCTCAGGCAACTGGCATACCCGAATTTTGCCGTGCGTCCACATTCACTGTAAGTAAGCACCCCCGCGATATAATTATAATGTATGGCCTCCGGTGGTCGGGCCTTGAGCTTATCAAGTTTGCCATCGAGCTCTTCTGTCGTTTATCAAACACGAACACCTTAGGGCACATAGAACGCCTCCTAAGTGGCCTGTCCGCCACCATTGCTTACTTTGCAATATAAAGATAATATTTTTACCCGCGACCAACCGTAAAACTCTGCCCTCTGCCTCTGGATGATGATAATTCAGCCAAATTAAGTGTTGTTTGTTTACTTTCATTTTAGTTTATTTTGTCCATGTTATTTTTTTGTTAAGGACAGTAATTGTCGTGGTTAATTAGTTAATCTTGGTTTGCCGCCGCGGAAATGTGAATGAATCTTTTTTGGTGATTGTAGGGGCAAGTTATCGGCACGTTCCCGAACGTCCGACGAGTTGTATTCATAAACATGTAGGTATCTTCCGTGAATGTCACTGAATAGCGCTCATCGGTTTTTGTGTTAGCAAGTAAGATTTAGAGGCCTATGTCCAACAGTGGACTATTAAAAGCAGTTGATGAAGTAAGATTTTCTTGACTGTGATTTACATGCGTGGAAATTGTTCCTTTTGTTAAATTGTGAATAATAACAATGTACAAGTGTCAATAAATACAAGTGAAAATAGTGAGTGTTTTAATTTAGTGATAACGGCCATCTAATCAAAAACTAGGCTGATCCTGTTCTATATGGTAATTTTTCTAAGTATTTACATAACATCAAAGATAAATTACATCCAGACACAGAACAAACTTAATGATCGTGCTAATCACATAAATAGGCCTCGTACCCGCGATCACTTACCACAAGACCAACATGCCCGTCAAACTATTAAATGTCACTCTACCGATTTCCCAAAATTTAGATCTGACATCTCCTAAACCCCTCACGCTATTATTAATTTTATTTTATTTTATTTTTTAGTCACAAATTATTTGTGCAATAGCGGACAAATAATTTGTGACTGCGGACTTAGTGCCACGGGCATTTTCTCCCAGTCTACCTTTGTGTGGTGGGGAAATGTGTGAGTAGGTGCACTAGAAATCAAGTTCTTTTGTTTAGTAAGATAATCATAATAATAGAGGAGATGGACAGAAATAGTGGGACAGATACACATACACATACTTATACAGAGATACATACATATATACACAAATAATTAATATAACTTTACGGATTTGATGAGTCGCGAATCGTGAGCCAGTTCAATTCGCAGTCGTATTTGCGAAGGTTAGAGACGAATCGAATGTAGTTATTAGTTTAGTTTAGTATTTTTTGAGGAGATATGCATTCAGGTCATAATGATACAATACCATAATCCACGATAAGGGCCTATACCAGCATCGCTTTTGTCGCGGAAGTAATGAAGTGGTTAAGGCGATAGTAGGCCCGTAGTGTACCTCTAACTCTCTGGCTGACGCTGGCGACCTGAGCTTGGAGTCGATAAATATGCCGAGGTTCTTAACAGAAGGACTGAAGGGGATGACTACGCTGTTAAATTTAATGGGTGACAGTTTATCTTGGTCTATTCGCCAGTCATTTGTTGACTGCCTATTATTATGGCTTGGCACTTTGCAGGATTCGCAGCTAAACCAAAACCTATCAGCCCATCCGGTCATTGTTAACCATAAAAATGGCCTCGTTGATGTCGTCTGTTGAGGCTAAATAATAGAGCTTCACATCATCGGCATAAAGATGGCGTGCACATTAAAGATTCGGAGTGATGAGATTGATAAATATTGAGAATAATAGAGGAGAGATCTTGAGGTTTCATCGACGCAAACACACAGTTGGCACCCCTGGAGATTTGACGAGAACCACTCCAGTGTATTAGTTTTATCATGGGATATGAAAGGATAGATAGAAGAATATCGTAACTGACGATGTTGAATGCATTTGAGAAATCAACCAAAGCCAATACGGTAACTTTGGATTTCGGAACAGAGCTGAAGTTTTCCTATGCCCGGGACTAACCCCGATTGGAAAGGAGTTGTTTCGGTATATATGTTGGGATAGTGGTTAGTTCACACAGGCCTCGAGAAGTTTGGATAGGAATGGCAGAATGGAGATTGGTCATAATTTGATTTAATTTGAAAATGATTTTATCCACATAATTTCTAGTTTTATTTATGCAGAAAAATAAAGCCCAATCAATAAGGTTCTGATGTTCATAAATTAATATAAAAATTTAAAGTGTATTTTTAACATATAGCTATATCGAGATCACAATATAAGATATTTCATTGCAGCAATCATTGCTTCTTTTACAAGGCAAACCGCTTTCACTCTAATTTACCTACCGATTATTTATCAACGAATGTGTAACGCGAGAGGCGGATATGTATATATTTATCTGATTTTTTGTGTAGGTAAACCAATAAAGTAATTTTAAGACTAATTTTAAATTTCATTGTAAAATTATTAGAAGTTCAATAGTATTGATTAGTGTTTTATTTATATGTTCCTGATTTAATTACGAAAAATCACTTTCAATATAATGCCTAAAGCATACAATCAATTGTGGCAAACTTTGATTTCTATCCCTAGCAATTTATTTTAGTCAATGATACTTCTAAACATTAATCAGCTAAATTAACTATAATACATATTTTTCATATGAAAATTCATAATATATTTAACATTTTTAATTTGCCTAATTAATTCAGTACCTACTCTCACGTTTTTTCTATCTTAGTTTATTATATCTAAATGTCTATGCATTTTAAGCTAGGGTAAAACAAATAAAATATTTCTATTTTCTTATCATCATTTAATTTTTTTTCGATATTTCTTAAGAGCTATCTGCTATTTTAACTTCTTGATAAAAAAAGGCTATATTATATTCCTGAAATTCTAACTTTGTATGCTTTTATCCAATTCGCTTTTGAAACATTTTTATACGATGTGAAGAAGTTGCAGGCGAAGACTTTGGTGGTGGTATAGGGTCTCTGTAGTGTTTCCGATAAATTTCATCCCAGAAATTAATCTGTTCCTCTAATATTCTGCCACTTATTTCAACTGTAGGACCCAATGTGATGTAAGGATCTCTATCTGCATTTGTTGGTGGCCAAGACAGTGGTAAAGATGACTCTTCCGGTACCGGATTACTGAAAAGGGGAATAAATTAAAGGTGTGATGAGTATGATCATTTTTCAGTGTCTGAGTGTAATTTGTCTATAAAATGTATGTATTTAAAAATATTTAAGAATTTTTATCATCAGTCTAGTTACCATAGTACAAGCTCTGCCTAGTTTGTTTTTCTTTGAAAACTTGATCAGAGTACACCAGAGAAACCTAAAGATCAGTATAGTACTATATTTTTAATTTTATATGTTGAAATTAAAAACTCACCCCGTAGTAATAAAGTTATGCCACATTTCTCTCATGACTTCTCTTATATTTTCATATTCCTCTGTATAATTTTTAGGTTTCAAATCATCAAATATACTAAGAGATTGTGCACAGTGACCAGCTCCCCGTAGCTTTGTGTACATTATATACGGTTCAGTCTCATCTACAAATGAATAATAATACAAATATACCTCACTATTACCATTCCTTACGTTCAAACTCACTGACCGTAAAGCAGGTGATGCAAACATGACATCTGTAAAGAAGTTAATGTAGCCTATTATGGTATCTGTATCTATCAACCTCTTTCCAAAATAAAATTCTTTGATCTGACGCGCAACATCTTGCTTTTGATCATCACTATCAAATATCAGGTCCTTTGGCAAAAACTCTGAAAAATTGTGATTCATAGCCAACTTCCAAGAGTGAAATAAAGGTACGCGCATTAAACCTTCCATACTAGTAAACCCATACAGCATGGGCACCTTTGTAAAGTCGCCGCTCTGCAGGATATTTATTGGAGAATCGTGAAGAAATGTATCCCTTCTTCCATTATTTTCGACACAGGGTACGAAGACAAATGAAGAATCCTTTCTTGAAAGAAATGCATCTGCTCTGATTACATCATAATGTAATTTTTTATAGAACTTCTCAAGGGCGTAAATGTTTTTAAATTCTGTAAAGTTCAAAGATTTTGCGTAATTTTTAGCATTTTCAATGGGATCTAATTGAATAGCGTAAGGAGCAATACCAGAGCCACTTTCTATAATAACTTTGTGAAAAAGCCCTCTTGCAGTTTTAGAGAGGACTAAGAGATCTGCGGCAGCAGCACCTGTACTATATCCCGACACTGTGATGTCATTAGGATTGCCACCAAAACTGTAAATATTTTTTTTCAGCCAACGTAACATTGCTAATATATCTTTCATCCCAGCATTACCTGGAATATCGTTAGTACCCAAACAAAGAAATCCGACGATACCAAGACGATAGTTGAAAGTCACAACAATAATCCGTTTAGTTTGCATTAGATTTTTCGCTTTTCGCCGATCTCCGTAGCCTATTTGGAAACCTCCTCCATGAATATACAAAACAACTGATAGATTTGTTTTCGTTGTATCGGGAACGTACACATTAGCTATCAGACAATTCGATTGCATATTCTTTTTTTTCATAAATTGATTATTTCCGAATTCTGCTTGTGGGCAAATAACGTCCTTGTCCACTGCTTCAAATGGTGCGGTCCACTCCGGTGGCTGCAAAGGTGCCTAAAAATTGACATATTTATACACATCTTTAAAACTTTCAATTAAATTAAAAAATCTAAAAGTATAGTATCTATCAGAAATATACTCGTAATACCAATTTCATTCATTTCTTTTGATACTGGACTTTTGGAGTAGAAACAATTATTATTTTAATACCTAGGTACTTATTTATTATCTATGAAACGGTAAGAAGGATATATATACAATTACACACCTTAAATTTATCTTCCCCAGTAGGAGCGGTGGCATATGGAATGTTGTAAAATGTGTACACCCCGTCATTCTCTTTTTGTCCTCGTACTGGTCCTTGTGAAGTCATCACATAACTTGGATCATCTCTATATCCAATATTTGCTGTCACAAAACACAGCATCAACTGCATAGAGCGCCACATAACTGAATATAATACTAGATACGTATTAAGCCAAGTATTCTATAGTCGTTGAGTTTTATAGTAACCATATGCCTATCAAAACATATTCTGTTATTATGAAGAATGCGTAAATACATTCTAAGATTCTATAAACTAGTGATTGTTTTCTTAATAGTTCGTCGACCTATTAGATTCATGTCCAGGGAAATTAGATCCCGTTTGATAGACACTGAATGTTATCAATTACGAATGATATTTATAAATTCCTCAATACTGCTGAAATATAAAAGTTACTTATTGTGAGTTAAATTACGGAGTCACATATCAGTTTTTTTCTTGTTGATTGTGGGAAAATCCCTTCGGATCTCCTGCTCCTTGGGGACTCAGAACCCAGGAATATGTGATGATTTCACTAAAAACTACCCCGACGGCCAGCTTCGGGCGGCCTACTCTGGGAGAACCCGGACCATGTAATTTCAGATCCTTCCCGAAACGACACAACGCCTAATCAGGCCCTATCCCAGGGGAAATGATTTCCCCACTTTAATCGCGGGATGGCGGCCCGATTGAGTCTTGCCACAATGTGCCACAGCGAAGCATGGCAGGGTACATCTAGTTACGCATAAGTAAAGAGATACAAATTATCCTCAAACTTGATGTTGATGATGTTGTTACACCTTCAAAAGGTTGTGCCTGTAGTAGTCAAAGAGAAAAATAAAACTTGATAAAACTAGCTTACTTACTCGACTTACTTACCGACCGACTTATCGAACTACAGAAAATGTAATACCAACTGCTAATAAATAATAAAATCTTGAAACCGTTATATTTTTATTATCTTTGACGAATGTGTACGAGTTAGCTTACGAACTAACTTACTATGCCATAAACTCAACAACTGTTTTAGGGAATGTCTGACAAGAAAATAACACTAGATAATGTCAACGTTGTTAAGTTACTACTTTCATGGTTTTAAATTCAATTTTAAATTAAACGATTAACAGGTATAGTCTTTTTGATATTAAAGTGGGAGAGCCATGCTTTGACACGAATGGGCCGGCTCGAACGGAGTGATACCACGGCCTCACAGAAAACCGGTGTTAAACAATTGAGGATAAATAAGTGTTAGAAGAATGAAGAAAGAAATAAATGCCGCTCATGGTACTCTGGGATTAACGATGACGACATACACTCACTCACAAATACCACACACACACACGAGTGACTAAAAGTCCTATTGTTATCATTTTATTATAATTTATTTTTTGTCTACAAGTTCTACCACTGTTTACAGTCTTTGCATTTATTTTAGTTGTTCTAATATTCAATATTTCTCTTTTTTTACTTTGAAATGAATTGTAATAAACGAATATTGCAATGTAATGTTTACACATATGTATTTGGAAGTGGGCGTTAATAGTTGCAACACAGTTTCTACTACTGCAGCAATTACTTTACTATTGTATATTGGACGTTGTAATAGTATTAAATGAAAAATAATAAAATAACATAAGGGCCTACTCAACCGGAGTGATACCACGAACTCACGGACAAGAAACGAAAGAAGGAGTGGAAGGGCGATGGTAGTCACTTAACATCAGCTTACTCGTCTAATCGTTTACCCCACTACACCCTACACAAATGTGAGCTTCACTTTTGGTGTATAGAATATCCTATGGGTATCATCATTTCTTTGTAGCACTGTCAAATCGCTGTGGAAATAATATCAGAGGGGCCTAGTGCAAGTTTATTTCACATTAAGTCAGTTTCGACCGTTTGGCGTTACGATTGGTGAAGATTTCAGTGTGTCAATAAACTCTACTTTTTAGTCAACTCCCGCGTACTTGAAATATATATCATGTATCGCGGGGAATTTAAAAACATTCATAAAACGGATAAAAAGAACAAACAGATTCAGAACAACAATTTAGAGATCACACAAAGTGTTGTCCCACGTGGGGATCGAACTCACAACACCCAACGACAAGGTAACTGCTTAAACCACTGCGCCATACGTGCAGTCATCATGATATAATGGAAAAAAATATATATAAACCGCTACTTAGTTAAGTCATTATATTGTTGAGACTGTAAAAATTAAAAAAAATAACAGCAATATGTGAGATTCCCAGCCAGAGTCATTTGAAAACTTAAAATCAGTTAAAAATTATGTTTAAATATCGTAAGTAGTTTTGAATGATCACTAAGAACAGCCGAGTGTACTACTATGTTACACCAGGAAGTACGTGATTGTAACAAGAAAACAATAAAAAATCAATCACAGAACATAATATATCAGAATACAACACTATGTGCTATTTTCCTTTATATATGTGGGTAGGTAAAATTTACTTTTAGTTTATACTCGTACAACAAAACAATTGATGTTTATACTTAAACAAGGACTTTTCTTTATAACTCAAGAAAAATAAATATTATTTCAGTGTGATTCTTGATTTATTTATAGATAAATGTTGTACATGTAATAGAATGACTGTTATTATTACTTGACTCGAAAGGATGTAAACATTAATAGTCTCAACATTTTGCTAAAAAGACGCAAGGCAAAGAAAAAATATCTATCGACTTTATTAAGTTACTTAAAGAGATGCCCACCTAAATACCAATAAACAGCCAGCGAGTGTCGTTACATCATGATAGATGAAGGCTTCGATTGGACAGCAAAATGTCAATCTGAAGCAGGTCGAACTACTCAGCGATCCCTTTTCAATTTACGGCAAACTCTCCCTTTTGACGACCAAACTTTAGTGTTGAATAAGATCGCGAAAAAACGTCTAAAGTACTGGCAAATAAATGTATTTTTACTGTTTATATTCACCGAAATGTTACGATTGAAGCATTCTCAATTAAGTTTGTATAATGTTTATAGTAGGTATGTTTTAATAAATAAATAAAATAAAAATAAAAAAGCCTTATGTTTTAATAAGTATATACTATACATATGTCAGCAAATATAGCTGTGACATAAATGGCCTCGCAGTCAATATTAATGACCGAATATGTGTGTACCGAATGAATATTAATGATAGGCCCAAAATCTTTTCGTACAAGATGTCGCTCTGACTTTATAAACTGATAGATCAAACGTTAAAATTCATAATTTACCCATGATATCGTATTATCGTACAACTAAACAGCACCAAGATTTTTACTTACGCCGACGATACAGCCCTTATATCTTATGGCAGCTCTTGGGAGGCGGCATTTGAGAGTGCACAATCGGGTCTTAACGCTGTTACTAATTGGCTGGCCAATAATCAACTCGCACTCAATGTTGATAAAACTAGTTACCTCACATTTTCACTAACTTCACTTGGTAGGCCTTCTTCATTATTCTATACCCTCATCGCTCACTCCTGCAATCCGCTCTCACAGGCCTCTTGTAATTGCCCCAACCTGTGCCGAACTAACAGTGTAAAATATCTTGGGGAACAGATTGACGACACTCTCTCCTTCCACTCACACATAGACGCACTATCCTCCAGACTACGAAAGCTCATATTTGTCTTTAAAACCCTCGGTCAGGTAGCTGATACACAAATACTTAGGACCACCTATCTTGCTCTTTGCCAGTCTCTGACGCAGTACTGCATCGTTGCCTGGGGAGGTGCAGATAAAACATATCTCCTTAAATTGAAGCGTGCCCAAAGGGCGGTACTAAAAGTTGGTTGGAGGCTACCATACCGTTTCCCGACCACTGATGTTTATAAAACCTGTAATGTGCTCTCTGTCCGTAAACTATTTATCCTCTCCGTTATTCTTACGACACACTCTCAGACTCCTTATGATCCTTCGAAATTTAAGTCTGTTCGTCGAAAGTATACTGTATGCCCGTCAAACCCGGTCAGAACAAGATTAGCACAGCGATGTTTTTACCACTTTGGTAACTATTTGTACAACAAAGTTAACAAAATCCTGAATGTGTACCCAATGACTAAATTTCAATGTAAAAAAGCTGTTACCAAGTGGTTGATTGATTTGGATTATGACGAAACAGAAAAGATAATCTGTACTTTAAAATAAGTACTGTCACTCATGCGCATACACAAACACACACACACGCACACACACTCAACACACACACACACGCACGCATACACTAATTTCTAATTCTTCTTACCTTTTTAATTATATTTTGAATTAAAAAATAAAAATAAAAAATGTATCACGTTGCTCAAAATCTACATGTATATGTATTGCATCTGTATCGCTAAGGTGGGAGCCTGGAGATTTGTCACACAGGTTTCGAACCTACTACAAACTCCAGCTCTCACTAAGGTGTCATGTATGTTATTTTTATTATAGTAGCATAACAAACCTGTGTACCTATTTACCTTTTTGAGACAAATAAACCTTATTATTATTATTATTCTCTTTATTTACTTTATATACATATTATTTACATTTTTAAATATACACTTTATAAAAAAAAATACATTTAAAAATATAAAAAATAGTAGACCACCGACATCGGGTACAGGGACCAAGACACCGGTGGTTAGGACTCCAAAGATAGGAACCTCCTCACTATACGAGCCGTGTCAAGGAGGACTGCCTTCTGCATCAGACCCTTGATCCAGCCATCCAACGTGAGCCTCTTAAGGTGTTGGTCGAGGCTCTTGGCTATCAATCCATGAGCAGATACGACTATCGGAACAATGATCACTGAATCAACATTCCACATATCGACAATCTCGTGAGATAAATCCAAATATTTAATTTGTTTTTCTTTTTCAACTTTCACGAGATTCTCGTCATGAGGAACGGCGATATCAACAACCATTGCGCGGCGCTCTAATCGATCTATCAACACAATATCAGGCTTATTGGCAACAATAGTCCTGTCTGTGATAATAGATCGATCCCAATACAACGTGGCCCGACCATTCTCGAGAACTGGGTCGGGCACATACCTATAGTATGGCACCTCTAGATTCACAAGATGGTATTTAAGGGCAAGCTGTTGGTGTACGATCCTGGCTACTTGGTTGTGCCTGTGC